CTTGGATAAGCATCTGACCTGTTTATTTGGCAATGCTTATGTCTCCCGGCATGAATACATGGTACCGGTATGCTATATTTCATACTTTACTGTATGACAGAGTTGCTGCAATAAGTTCGCAAGTTCAGGAAAGGCCTTATATTTGCTCCACTTTGTAGTTAACCTGAACATGAGAAGCTGAACATCAGTCTATGTTCCTAGCAGCTTCTGTTTACCCGAAATCAGATAGTATTCAGTATAAAGTTCCCATCAGCATCAAGTGTAATGTAATACACATTACATGCCTGAGACACACTGTCAGACAAAAGCAGACAACACCAATTCCAGACTATGCTGAAAATTTGTTATTCAGGTTTGCTCGCTACTGTCAATACACCTAAGCATATAACAGTGAGACAGCACGAGTCAAAAGGAGTAAGGTGGAAGAGGCCATAGTCTCAGAGCAACATCCATGCCTCCCCTGTACTTCTAACTACAAACTGGACAGAGCACAGTGCAGAAATTCAGCAAATCCAGTTGTCTGATCACCTCTCACTTGCCAAAGGCACTTATCTCCTTGTGCCCATCTATTTAAAGCAAGGATAAGCAATAACAACCTCCCTTTGTAAAATACTTTTAAATTCACAATTGAAAATTCTATACAATGTGCTGTGAGTTTGTTTTGTTTGGTTGGTTTGAGGTTTTTTTTGTGCTGGTGGTGTGGGGTTTTTTTAGATATCAAGGGCTTCTCTATCTGGATTAACATTATTAAGAACTGATTACACATACAAGACCCAAACTGAGAAAAGAGTACATGCACTTATTCTCTGATTGAAAACCATGCCCTTATTCTCTGAAATTTGTTAGTATGTATCCACAGAGGGTTGGATGCAGCAAACAGTTAAACATCCTCTCTAACTTCATTTTCAAGACACAGTAGTAAGAGAGTTCTCAGTAACTTCAGAGAGAAATGAAGTCCTCCCACAGCATTATGCTTTACTACAGGTACAATACATCACAGGGAGGCACAGCTACCTTTCACTCACGAAATCATCACAAGTGCACAGCCACCACGCTGTGAAGTTGGACACCAAACAGACAATTCAAAATCCCTGCTTATGTATCTGTGTGACAAGTTCTGAGGACTCCCTCAGCCCTCATGAAACTGGTGAGTTATCAGCAAGTCCAGAAAACAGTTTGTTTATTTAGTTACTTAAGAGGAAGCAGCTGAGTCCTGAAGTTTGCCTGCGCCTGATTTAGTAATGCCAACACTTAGGACCTCCTCCTCCTTCTAACTCACTTCATTTTTAATATGTGACTGTTCCTTGTTCAAGAGCCACAGCTTCTCTTTATGATGCCCATTAAAAACAACAATGTACTACACTACGAATACGTTTCAATTAGGAAGGGGGGAGCTAATAACTTTGCAAGGCTCTCTGAAGAGCCAAACAACTGTTCTCATTTCACAGCTCACTGATTCTTTAGAAGTGCCAGAAAGTCCTGGAAATAAAACAGCAATACTTATTAAACTGGCTCTGTCTCACAGCCATTAAGTTTTTCTTAGCCCTAACATGAAAACAATCCTTAGGGATTATCAGCTTAAAAGAATGGAACAATCAGTCCTGACCAACTAAAAGATACTAGTTGAGTGTTTTCTTTCCCTTTCCCCTTTTAACTCCTGAACTGCTCCTCACATTAGAGCCAAAAGGGAGTTCATAGTTTGCAAATTCACATCACTTCTACTTACCTATGGTCACTATTTTTATAATCTGACTAGGACATGCAGCAAGATCCACCTGTTACAAAGGACAGCCTAATGCGTAACAGGTCACCTGCAAACACAAAATAAGTTTAATTCATGTGATGTCACAACAACAAAATGTTCAGTAGCGTGTGGGGTTGAACCAGACTCTCTTGAGCTTCCTTTAAGCTCCAGAATCACAGCAAAGTCAGTGATTTGTTGGGATGGTTAAGAGTCCTCTGAACTAACACACACCTGCAATGACCAGGCCCTATCAGAAACAAAACGGAGTTGGAACAAAGCATTCTACAATACAGATGGTGCACAAAGGACAACGGTTGGAGTAGTCATTGCAGAGCAGTACAGCAAGTAAACGCCAGAAACTCTTTTCCCCTGCCACTTGTGTAATGTTTGCAGTCCCTTCACATTTTCATCTACAAAACAGAGCTACAATCCTTGTATGCTAATGCTTACACAAGTTCTCTTTCAGAGCCACATACCTGCTCTCCCATGTTTTTGCTTCCACTAGCACTTACAGAGAAAATAACTCCTCAGAAATACTTACCTTAATTCTCTTTAATTTGTCTGATAGCTTCTTGCAGTTCCGGAGACTGATAATTCTAAGCATAGATACTTGGCTAACTTATAGACGTGGCAATTTTTTCCAAGTTGAAGCATTGCTCATTTTTTAAAGAATCATGGGAAATTATCCCTCAAATTTAATTTATTTTGGCCTTAGCCAAAGGATTTAATACCTTGGAATAAAATAAGTGAGAAGGAAGACATTGAAAAGAAACTTGTTCAGGTTCGAAAAAGAGTATTTGAAGTTCAGAAAAGCCTACTCTGACATTGTCTTCCCTTTTTCTTCCCCCAATTATAGTCAGGGATCAAACATTAAAACAGCACCTCAAGCAAAGCTTGGGAAGGCTGCTGCAAAATTTTTTATCTTGGCTAAAACTAGTATTTGCAAAAGGATCATAGATCAACAGAGACTACTGCCTTTAGCTCCAGCTGACCCTAACTGGCCTCGATTTGCTCTGCCACCCATACTCAAAGAGCACTCTCAGGAACTCGGCCATTCCAGCAGCAGCCCCACACCCCCTCTCTGGGCCTGCATAAGGCCAGGAGAAACTGTACATCACTAGTTAACACAGCTTACAAATAAGCCGTGTATTAGTGTCCCAGCACCAGTTCCTCATGCAGAGGCTACAGCGGGTCCCGTGCTCCTCTGAGACTGGGGAAATCCTGCCTTGAACAAGCAGGTGAGTTGGTTCACGGTATCCCACTGTGACAGCCAGGAGCAAGACTAGAGGAGGAGCAAGCACTGCAGCTCCTGCGAGGAAAAGGAGCACCAGAGCAAAAGCACATGGTGATTTCAATCACCAGATTGTTCCCTTTTTCCTCCCTCCCCTGAAGTTGCAAACCCCCCCCCCCAACTTTATGTGATTTTAATAAGACAGAGGCTATTTTAGACTGTAATACAGAATTACAGCTTATATTATAACAAACATTTGGCTTTGCCAAATTGATTGCCATTGATACAGCTCTCATACATACACATCGCTCAGTACAGGCCAGTGGCACATTGAAATATGCCAAGGTTAGAAGTGAGTATCAGCACAGCACCTCCCTTTAGCACATCCACATTATTTTATTGGGTTAGTTCTCAGAGAGCCAGTAGTCACCTGGACTTGCACATCTGCAGTGTATTGGAGAGGAAAAGAAACAAGCAAAAGGTAAAGTGTGGCACCAGACTTGGAGCATACCTTCTGTCTATTGAAATAAATCACCAGTGCACCTCAAACTGAGGCAAAGCACTCTACCACCACCTCCTTCAGTATGCTGAGAAACTTTAAAAACATAATCTCTGTTTTGCCTGTGGAATCCCCAAGTTTTGTGTTAATTTTACAGTAGAACTCCTTAGTGCAGCACTTAAAAATTGATCTGTGTCTATTAGCCATTGGGTTAAGGAGAGCAGGCAGAAGAGACAGACAGAGTCGAAGATTCATGAATTTCAGTTAGTGGGGGTTACCTTGTTTCCTACCTCGTCTCCTGGAGTCACACAGCCCCAAAATCACTTTTAATAAATTCCTCATTAAAAGCATGACTTTTGCTTGAGCCAGAGTCTGCATCTTTGAAATACTGAGTCTTGTTTTCTAAGTATCAAAAAATGGTAGAAAACTCCATTTAACCAGATCACATTTTATACGGGAGTAAGTTTTGTTCATAAGGCTCTTTTTCCAACCTTCAAATGTCATTCTTTAAATTTAGCTACATCACTTCTCAAACATTACAAAATGACTATGATTATAAATCTTTCCCACCTAGATGATAGTAGCAGGCTTCATCTTACTTAGCTTTAAGTGTTTAACAGACAGTTATCTAAATCCAAGTTAGCTTTGTGTGCTCTCTTCTGCATCAATAATAATAGAAAAGGTCCTTTTGGGGGAGATTCATCTGTTATCTTCAGACAGCATGAACTTTCTGAACATGTCAACTTCAAATCTTTTAACAAAAGCAAGCCCAGAAGACCAGCTTATGCTGAAACAGCTAATTATTAGATAGCTAAAGCAAGGTGGAGGGTATCTTACCCTTGTTTGCAATGCTCAGAACACTCTTAATGCTTTTACTGGATTAATTCATTTCAGTTCCTTTAGTCTCCCAATAAAAGAGTTTTCATCTCTCAAAAAAGTATTATTTTAGCTCTTCTCTGAAGCTCTGTGCTACGAGTCATCTGTTTATATGTCCCAGAAGCAGACTTGGCTTTTTGGCTAGAGGAACATGCTGGACACTGATATATCTATGGCATGATGGATGCTTTGTTCTTGTCTACAGGTCTCCGATGTACAGTCAAAATTTTAGCATCTGTTGCATCCAAACTGACCAAAACTAGTGGCAACAAAGCATTCACACACAGCTGTTAATAGCATAGGTATTAAGAATTAAGAATCAAGACCTATCAGATTTGGGGGGGGACAGGGGGAGCTGTACAAAAGGAGTAGGATCGTAGTTTAAGACAAATCCACCAGGGTATGTGGTAAAGGGGCCCTAGGGTATAAGAAAACAGCCTCTTCAGCTGTAGTTGGTCTTAGTATTGTGGCTTCCTGGTTTTCAGCAATTAATCTCAAAAAGGACAGTGCTCTTTCATACCTTACCATTTATGGTTACAGAAAGCTTCGTAACAAGGGAACTAAGTTAGGAGTTTAGCCACAGCAAAGCAAACTCAGAGAAGTACAGGAAAGGAGAAGGAAAAAAAAAAATCCCTTTCAGCTCTAAGTTCCACTGCTATTACAAATCTGACATGTAACAGAAGTTTTTTCATCCGAGAAAGAACCATTTCATCAAAAAAAGTAAGTATATTTCTAAGCCACTGGTTTTCTTTGGGAGCGTGCAATAGCTTTGGGGTTGAGAAGTACAGTGCTCTCGGAAGCAACAATCTTTCTAAATCTGCAGACCTATGGAAGGCAGGCCAGATAGCCCACATGCTACAGAAAAGTTGTTCTCTCTTTTGTAATTGGATGTAATCTGATAATTCTCCATAATTATTAGCAAAGATAATGGCAATATTTTCACAAATTAGGAGTCTGCAACCCAAATGAGATCATAGCTTTTATTCATTTTAACGGTAAATAGACTTTTACTCTTAGGAGTTTCATGGCTTTGGGTGTTCAGTATTCCTTTAGAGGCTGTGCTTGTCTAGCTCTAAGTTAGAGAGGAACTTGAACTCTTTCAGGCTTCACTGAAATCTACTGTTAATTTGATTCATTCTGTGCAGCCCTGTACTACACATAATGCAAAAGAAGCACCTGAGAAAGATTTCAGAACTGCTGAACTGAGCAAGTAACTCTTCTCCTTTTTTAAGAACCACCAGGTTTAAAAGCTAACTGAATTACTCTTAAACAACTGCATAGGTTTTTAAACAAAAAAGCTAACTTCTCTAATTCACTCTAGTGTCACAGCTAAAGAGTTCATTAATAAAGCAAAATGATACAGCATATTTCGTAAAATAAATGTAGTTGTATCATGTTACACAGTCAAAATATTGCTGCTTCAGTTTTCCAAAACAGCTGCATGAATACACTGCAGAGTCTTCTTTTCTCTGCACATTTCAACTGAGGTTCAGCATCACCTTATTCTGTAAGACACACAGTATTTGTGCTGCCAGATGCACAGAATGCTTTTTAAGTAATTGCTTCTTACCAATTTGCAATGAACACCACCAGTGTTCCCTGGCCCCAGCACCCCTGGCAAAGGCAGACTTGTTACCAGCAAGAAATGCATATAAATGCTAGTGTAGGAAATGGAGGGCAGGGAGAGGGGAAGCAAGTGCCAATGCAAATGTAGTTTTGACTTCAGGCCTGTTGTCCGGGTTGTAAGTGGTGGGGCAGTAGATAAGAAAAGGATGAGGGCAGGATTGAAACAGAAAGAAAGAAGAATCTAAGCAGTGTTGAAATACTCATGGAAACAGGTAGGCAAGTATGAGTGATCAAACTAATTCTACTCAGAGACAGTAGTAAATATGTTAAGCTGTGCAGCTCTGCCACAGTAGCATAACCAGTACAGAGCTCATATTTCTAGATCTAAAAAACTTACAAGTGCCTTCTGGTTCCCCCACAAAGTACTTGGCCAATAAACTGGCAACAAATACTATGCTCCTCTTACTTACCCAGCAAAGCCAGCAATTTTTATGTTGTCCACACAAGGTGTTTTGAGAATAAAACAAGATGACTATCAAGTTGGCACTTGATAGGAGAAAGCAAATGGCTATTTTGTATGCAGAGGCAGTAGGGCCAAAGGGTCCAGGCCTGTTTAAAAACTCATCACTACAGAGATATGGATGACTTGCATCACTCTTCTTGGTGTCATGTAGTATTAGCACTTGATGCTCACCCGAAAGCAATACATAAGTGCTTACTGGAAATTTACCATATGGTGTAGGATAAACCAGCTCAAAAAATTACTAGCTCACTGTTAATATTTATTCCCAACTTAAATTTGAGAGAAGGGTTTAGCACCCTTTCTTCTGCAAGTGAGCAAGATGAATTCATCAGTGCTACTGATGCTGCCATACCCAAGTTAAGAGCAGCGTGGAATAGCTCAAAAGGGAGGTCCCATCCAAACTCACAGAGGTCACAGCACTAGAAACTCTGCAAAAGATGGGGGAGGAGGCGGCAGAGACTTCCTACAGAGTGTCAAACATGTCTACTAATCAAAACAAGGGACTCTATTCCAAACCTGAGCAGATGGCATCCCTAGGATTATCACAAGCAGCTGTCAATGCAGTGATTATACATTGAAATTGCACAGCTAATGTACTGTATAATTTAACTAGACTGAAGAAGATTAGGGAGAGGGAACATTATGAAAAGATTTGGAGCTTATATTTTCCTAATAATTATGGAGGCACCCCACAATCTTCAGTGCAAAAGATACATTTAGATTTGCTCCTGAAGGCCAGACTAAAAACTACGTCATACACTTCAACATCTTCTAATTCAAATATGCTCAGAGATTTCCTGTGCCAATCAAGTCCTCTGCAGTGCTTCATTTTTCAAATATTTAATGATTTTGTCAGAGGAAACACCTAATTAGCTCTTTCAATATTCCTCCTAATATACATCGACAGAGCTAGGAGACAAGAAAAGAATTTTTAATCTGAAAAAAAAGTAACCGTTTAAACAATGGGGAAATTCCAAATAAATATGTTTTTCTATATGCATGCAGCATTGCTTTGTCTTGAGAGCCAGAAAATGCAGGATTTGCAGCACAAGAACATAAGAATATTTAAATATGAAAGGAAAAAAATGCATATAGGGATTCCTTCAATAACTTGGGTTTTCTCTTAAATTATTCTGCACATGCATGAAATAGTGTTACAGACTTTTCTGGTCTAATAAATTTTGAAGCATAAAAAAATGCAGCAGGAACTATGTATTTCCGTTTTAGGGACCACATTTACAGCTAAACTGGTGCAGCAATACAACAGTGACGTGAGCACCTCTGATTTACACTGCCTGAAGACCTAGCCAGTTATTTGTTATGTTTATAGAAGCACTCAGTGAGATATTTTTAGATGAATCTTTCTTGTTAACATTCTCTGCATAATTTATACGTCCTTATTCTCTTTGGGGTGGAGCAGACATCTGAACTGGGGGAGCAGAGGCAAACAGCATCACCTAGCAGCCCATGCAGACAACCGGGGTCAGGCAGCCCATCTGGTGTCAGGATGGGGAACAACACTGCACATCACATTGGGAAAACCTCTTGGCCACTTGTGAAAATTTCTGATTTACACATACAAACTCCTTATGTGTCTTATGAGGTAGTCTGGCAGTTTCAGATGGTTAGGAAGGATAAGCTTACTGGTACTTCTGCTGCATATGTGGCTGACATTCAAGCAGATTCATGGGGCAATTACATTTATTAATTCTTTGGTTAATAGTCCCACAGGTTTTGTTTTCCATGTAACAAGGGGTCTGATTACCCCACTATTTCTCAGCGTAAGTGGGACAGCTATGTAAACATTATGGTTCATCTAAAACTCAAGACATTGACAGCACTAGGCCACTAGAAGTTTTCCACAAGTCATGGTGGCAGTACCAATCTTTCTTTCATTTTCCCACAGAACTAATTAAAGATTAATCATTGTTCCTGTATGCAAGAATTTCTTGCTAACAACTCAGGTTTCCACTTGTCTATCATTAGCTTCCCACTGTGTTATAAGGAACTGCCATTCAAGTACCACATGGTCTCGGGGCCTGTGCTCCAGGACCGATGATGTTCCTTTGTTTCATTTTCCCCTCTGACCAAGCTGCACAATAGGTAAAGGAGAGTCAGTTTAGTGTCAGTTGGTCTTAAGGTGCTATGTTGCACAGTGTTCCAATATTTTAAATATTTTGGAATTCTTTGTTTTTTGAAAATGCTATTTCCATTTTTTTCCCCCACAGAGCTAAAAGAAACGACAGAAGTTTCCAAAGAACAGTCAGTACGGACATTTACCCAAGTCTCCTTGCAGGGTGCATGTGCCTCTGTGCATGGTTATACACAAGTATGCAGGCACAGCGTGAGCATGCTGACAGTGCTTGATGCCACAAGTTCTATTTATAGCCCCACAGACCAAGAAAAGCACAATGCAGCCTTATTTAAGGGCCTTAGCTCACATTCTGTATTAAACTCAAATGCCAGTAAGCAGGTAAAGTTTATCTTCTGGCAATTTCCAGCTTAAGATGCTTCTTACAATGCCAGTGAATTATACGTGATCATCAGAAAAACAATTCCCCTCAAAATGCTGTACACAAAATTCACAGTGGATATTGATGTTTTATTTAAAGTGGAATTAAATATGGAACTGGACAAAATTCAGTATTCCAACAACGACTCCTTTTGTTCCTAGGGACACCTCAGAACAGCCCTTCATTTTGATATCATGTACGAGCAACTTCAAAATATATACTTGAAAAATCCTGTAACTAGCCCCAAGTTATGCTAAACGACCAAAGCTGTTTTACTGTCCGTATACGTCTATATTGTAAATAACACTAACATTCAGGTGTTACAGTAGTCTAAAAACAGTAGCATTTCAGTGTTCAAATACCTTTTTCCTTTGATCATTAAACAGTCAAAGTAAAACATGTTTACAAGCGAAAAACAGAACTAATAGGAAAGAAAGTAACATTCAGATTATATTCACATTCTTTCTTTTGAGAGCTGATGGTGTCTTTATCTCATCTTTCACCAAACTCAGTGTTGTTCCCCACCCCCAGTAACGCCACAGCTCTGCCAGCCTGAGGCAGCTGGAGACCGTCTACTCACGGTTAACCTGAAGAGCCTATTTGCTAACTTTTGATATAGTGCAAGAGAAGCACAAGCCAAACTTAAGTCTTGATACTTGCTCCATGGCTTAGCTGAACAGAGGTGGATTCAGGCAGCGACCACACCATCCTGAAGGCCAGCCAGTAAGGATAAATATGAAATAGTTATACGCACCTGAAGCTAAAAACCTGAAAATGCATCAGCTACTGCACAAAGCTGTGCACTTTTGCCTTGCACATGAGAACAGGACTGAAACCTGTTTCGGCATGTACGTAATATATTTTCCCTTTCTCCTTCTGCTCTGCTTTCCTCTCTTCTCCCCCCAAAACCCCACACAAATCTTGCTGGACTTGTCATTTCCCATAACTATGGCTTGTACCATGTTTTCATGAAAAAACAAAACCCCACAAATCTTCAGTTACAGCTGTCAGTGCAACAGATACTGGTGATGGGTTGAACTCTCAGTGGCTGTTATAGCTCATTTACATATTAATTCTATACATCAGTCATAATGATTTAATGGCATATGGATTCACAGCAATTATTTTCAGATTCTCTTTATCAAGCATCAGCAAGATAATTTAAAATGCTATTTGGCAAGGGAGTGGGGGGAATCTGCCTAAGAGTTCCCCTGGTGTTACACCCATACTTCAGAGTTTGCACTGTCCCGCTAGTGCCAGCAGCAGTCCTGACTCCGTGCTTGTGGTAAAATGATAGCAGTTTTAACTGCTGTGTTTTCTAATCCTGTTCCATTAAGTTTGGTGGCATCATACTCCTACTGTCTAGAAAACGCAGCTCTTCTCCACTATTTGATCAGACATCAAGTTTTGAGCATTCCTGAATGGACAGGGCCAAACGACAAACACGCAGAAGTCAGAACCAGGCATCTCAAATGCTAAATTTTTAATTATTTCAGCTCTTTTGAAATAAAATGACCACATTTCAGACTAATCCAGAAGAAAATGCATAATGTAAAAAGGGTTCTACTGTGGGAAGATTTTCCCTTCACGCAGCCTTTACCAATCCACAGCACACTATCTCTTACTTCAGAGAAGCAGCAACGTGAAATAGACTGAATTAAGGCTGGGGACAATCAGGCCTTAACAGAACTCTCCCCAAAAGGAATCAGGTTTTCCTACCCCATCTGCTAGCCTCCCCACATGCACAGTTTTTGAAGTACTCTATGGTAAATATCAGAAAGTAAAAAAGGAGTCTACTGATAACAAAAAGCACAGTAACTTTTTTTTAAATTCTAGTTTTTGCAAAAATGGGACTGTTCCTCCATGGGATACATTATATTCCAGAAACTTGTTACACAACTGCAATACCTGTAACCAATCCTAGTCACGTTTTCCCTGTCCCTTCTGTATTTTATTTTGTACCAGAAAGAGATTGTTCAGATTTCACGACTCTAAATTATGCTGGGAAAAAAGTTGGTGACTGCACAGAAGCGGGGGGAGACAAGAGCCCTGTGCCTGGGACTGGGAATGGTCGCGTGCTCCACAATGATGTACTTCTTCATTGGGATCACCATTGTGCCATTCTACACTAAAAGGTAATAACAGCCATTTGTTTATGAATACAAAGCTATTTCTTTTTCCTGTCTGCATCAAATACAGTTATTAAAACAGTGCCGAAATATATGTTAGTACATTGTACAATAAATAAACAATAAATTCTTATGAGCTCTTCAAGAACGTAAGACAGAATAAAAGAGAAAGAAAAAAGTGAGCCAAGAAGTCATTAGGCATTTACAGGTAAGAAAAAGAAAGAGGGACTGATCATCTTCAGGGCTAGAATGTGAACAGACTAAAAACATTTACTATGAAAACATGTAAAATAAAACCCCACCATGCTTATCAAAGCTTGATAATGGAAAGCTAAGTCTTGCATAAATGGGAAAAAAAAAAAAAGGTGCTTTTCCATGTGCAGGAGGGTGTGTTGTTTTTAATAAAACTATATAAACTTGAGCAACAGAAGTCATGGTAAAATTGTTCAGTCAAGAATCTGTATCTAACTTCCAAATCAACCATCACAAGAAACTAGCACCTTCAAACAGGCCAGTCTACCACAGCAAATGCTGCAGAATACAATGAATGCTGAAGAAGTTACTATTACCCGCATTTTTATTTCATTTTGCAAGTTCTGCCTCCACGCACAAAATCAATTTGCAAAAAAAACAAACAAGATGAAGAGTGCAGCTCAGTTTTTCATGCTTGAAGATTTTGATAAAGCAAGTACATGCACCTCATTCTTCTTGCTAAGAGCACCTTTAAGCTCAAAAATGTTTAAAAAACATTATCTTTAAAACACAGTAATTCCCATTTGTTTTATTTATTTTCCAGCCTCCTGATTCTATTACAAAAGACATTTGCATGTAAAAAGATCAGTGCAAGAACTAGAGCGAGACTTTTTTTTTTTGCCACCAATGTGTACTACTGTAAGCAAAAGCTTACTATGTTATCAGTAATAAAAGAGTAACTCTTGAGAAACAGGGATAAGTAACAGCAAAAAAATGAACTTTTGCCAGCCAAAATCCTGCTACTTATTCATGCAAAAGGTCCATGTAATAAAGAAAAGGAGAAGGGGGGGGAAACATGGGAACTCATCTGAGTTCTGAGGATTACTGAATGAAATTAGTCAAAATATTTCTGAGACATCAAGTGTACTGCACTTCCAAATACTTACTACCAAACATTAAAATCCATAGCAATTTTTGTTTCTTGAATAACACTCACAGCTGATTACAGACGGGGTTAGAATCTAACTTCAAACCACAGAATGTGTAACAAACAACAGCAACAACAACAACAAAATGCTTTCCTGCACTGCTTTGCTACGGCAGCCCTTCTTCAGGTGCAGCCATTGATCAGGGTGGGCAAAGTTCACCGCACCAGGATCAAGCAGCCGTGAACTCCACCCATGCCACCATTTAGAGCTGGCACACACAGATGCATCTCCAGCATGCAACTCGTAACAGATATTGCTAACACTTAAAAGCAATACCTTTTGTTTTGGTTTTGTAGTGTCTGGACAACAGAAACTGTGTGCAAGGTACTCAAAGCCAACATCATGGACAAAGTTCTCTGCCCAAACAGTGAAGGCTCAGAGGATGAGGATATCTTTCCTTATCCCTGTCTACAGGTGTGGGTTAATCTGACAGCCTCAGGACAAGAGGTTATGCTGTATCAGACTGAAGATACACTGGAAAGAAATCCTAAGGTACTTGCAACACAGATTGAATAATCACTGTCTGCTGTTATCTAGCTAGCACCTTTGAGGAGAAGGGGTGACTGTTTTTAAACCAAGCAACAGAGTAAGAGTAGGCATTGTTCATCTTTTACATGTTGATGTCTGTGCTTAGACCAAGGCATTTTTAAAATATTCCAGAAATTACACAGTTCTGGATTTTGTTTTAAACATTACATCAAACATTAATACTTGTTAAGGAATTATACCAACTAAACATGAATATTTAACATTTATGAATACTTAAAAATATGTAAGTCTCCGAGTTGAAGACCAATAGTATGAAATAGTTGATAAACTGTGGTTTGCTCAGTTGCTTGTTAAGTTATCTCAGGAGAGACCCGAAGTTAAAAACTGTCCAAAGCAAGACCACAAATCCCAATTTTAGTTTCATTTTTGGTGTGTGATATGAAGCAGGGAAGAAACAAAGCAGAGAAGGGGGGAATGAGGGTGCTGTTGGGAACATGATGCATATGTTAGACAGAAAGGAGAAACAAATCAGTTATTTTGGACAATGACCACCCAGAAAACTCATTTGTCTTTGGTTTGGTCTGCAACAGTCTCTGGCCAGCATGGCAGCAGAAACCTGGACTCACAGAGAAGGCAGTGGCACTGTAGGAAGCACCTGTTTAATGCAGAGATGCTGGGTATGGTGGTAGAGGTACCTTGGTCGGTTGTACGTTGGATGTCTTCCCCAGAGGATGAGTGCAGACCACAGATGGGACAGAAATGTGGCTGCACAGTATTCATTTGGCTTTAGAGGTGTGTGAAAGATTAGGGAAGGGGAAAAAGTAGGTTGTTATCCTTTTGTTCCTGCCATTGTTTCTGCTTGGGAATCAGCAAAAAGTTCAATATTTTTAGGCTTGCTCCCCCACAACCAGAAGTGCTCCTATAGGTACACTGTCCCAGGGAAGGTCAGGTTCAGTTCAGTTCAGTTCCAAAACCACAAGTATTTCAGAGGCCTTATTCCAGCTCAACACTCTCTAAGGGGACATAAAGTGAAATTCAGATCTTGGATGCCCAAGACTGAAGCACTTTCAGAATCCAAACCAAACATGCTCAGACTACAAGTGCTCATCTTCTTAAAGAAATTATATAGATTAGCGTTTCACACATGCAAACCTGATAGCATAAAACACTTTGGCTGAAGAGAATTTTGCTAGCCAATACCTATCTTTATAGTGACTATCTCAGGGAAAGCTACATACTATGAAGTAGCAAAGCAGAAATTATCCACTGTAGACTGAAACAAGAGTCTCGTTCACTGCAAGAGGAGGTGATTTGCTGATTTCCTACCTACTGTTTGCATTACTGCAAGTATTAGCCTTCAGGTCAGGAACCATCCCCTTTCTGCCTTGGCCAGTTTCCAGCTTAAGATACCTAGGCATTATCATGTATGCAAAATAATATTGCAGAAAAGAAACTGTTAACAGCAACAACAACAACGAGTGCTTTAAAGTCTAATAGTATTTCCACTGAAGACTAAATAACTTTGCATTATTAGTTCAGGTCAAAATAGTTCTGTGTTATGAGGACAAGTGGGAAGCCTCCAACAGCCATGCTTTCCTCTTATTTTTCTGCTAGTTACAATAAGATGTGCACAGTGAAGCAACTTCTTTTTCCTGCACACCGACAAGCCAGTTGTGAATTTCTGCACAACTAACATATTTCTGCTGTGCTGGTGCCTAGAAGCTCTGTTAGGAATCCAAGCTTGGCACTGTAATAATAAAGTCAGTCTCAAAGACTGCATTTTATTTTGAGCACATATGTATTATTGGTTTCCAACATTACTCCAATCTGTAAATATGCAGACTGGGGGCATAGACACACTGACAGAAACAGGGAAGCATGGCAAACGGATTGTGGACATAAGGAAACCAAGGCGATCTCCAGGGATGCTACCCAAACTACTGAAGTTTTCGTCAGTACTAGCATGTTTGTTTTATTCAAACTGACTTAACTACAAACTTTGTATCAGAGTATCCATTATAATGAATCTCCTTGATTTTTTTATTCCAGTGCTCATATGTCCCAGGCAAGTCGGAGAACTCTAAAGAAGTTAAAGCACGAATAGAAACAATTGCAAGCAATTTCAAAAAATACCAGACTTTCCCATGCTACTACGACCCAGGAGGAACGCAGACCAATGTCATTTTAAGCAGACTTTATCCCCCGAAAGGCCTCCTCTTTGCTTTCCTTTGGCCTACACTCATGTTTACTGGTGGATGTCTGATTATTGTTCTGGTAAAAATTAGTCAGTATGTTTCCGTTCTTTCCGCTTGGCAGTAGAAAATAAGTATCTGTCTAGCTTAGATTGTTGCAAGATATTAAAGGGCCTTTTTTCTGCCTGTCATTATCTGCATTTTGTGACTTTTAATATACCAGGTGTGAATCTAAGGGCAGGCATTCCAGAAAATTGAATGGCACCCACTATGGATGACAATCCATTACATGAGGACAAAATATACAGTTGATTCTCAGGAATGCCTGAAAATACCTCGTAAGAACACAGACTGAGTTACTATCTATTGTTTCCTTGGGCTTTCTGAGGTACAGTTGCTTTACAGAGCTACAATTCAAGTTTACTGCTAAACTCTGGTTCCATATTTTAGACAGGGTCCTAATTTTCTGTCTGGTTGAGATCAGTTGCTGCCAGAACGATATACATCATTACTGGCAGACACAACCTTTAAATACTTCATTAACAATACAGTATGTATTCATGGCATACTCATCTGTCAAGAAAAGTTTTTTTATGGTCCAAAGAGGTATTAGTTATCATGGATCTCTCTGCTTTTGGGAAAGGGGAGGGGGAAAAACACTCAAAACCAAAATACACTCACACAGATATTACAAAGTTTGTACTCCAAACATCTAACACCAACTGTATATAATGAAATATATGCATAAAACATAGGGTACAGTAAAGAAACTTATATTAGAAGTAAGTTTTGTATTTAACTCAAATCTTAGCCTTGTTTTACTTGCAAACAAGTATACTAAAGAAAGGCTACCTCCCTGCTATTTGCATATATTGTAAAATGTTAAGGAACAGAAGTCATGATATAAAGAGCATGATTATGTAGTAGAAAACATCCATGATGTCTTACTAAATACAGTAATCTAACATAACCACAGAAGTTTGCATGCTTAGCACAAAGATATTTCACAATAGAGACATGTTTGTTTCTAGCACCAAGAGTCTTAGGAAAGCTCTGATGCACATATAGACACATTTTCGATTGTCTGAAAAGAACTCTGTTTCTCAGCCAATTTGCAAATTGCTACTGGACACAGGAGGAACACAAGATACTCCTGCATGCTGTATTTGACTGGTACTTGGCACACAACTAGTACAAGCTTTTTCATCACACAGCTGATGAACCACTTAGTAGCTATCATTCACAGGAAAATTTCAGGGCTTAGACACAAATTTAAATTCATTAAACTGTAGCGGAAAAAAGTTATTCTCATTAATGTGCTATAATTCTCTACTGTTTATTGTAAGAAAGAGGAAGGCTGAAATATTAACCTGTTTATGTGCATTTTCCAACATTACTAATGGAATAGTGTCAGAGTTTGCTTTTCATCACGATCAGCAAATTGAAATTAAACCAGGATAGTACAAAATAGCAGTTATTAATATCATTAACGCTTGTTCAACATGCAAAATCTAGATGTTATCTATTAGAAATCTACAAGAGGAAAAAGACCTGCTCTAGTGCTTAAGATTCAGACAGTGTAAGTGGGGCTGTTAAAAGAAAAAAAAAGGCAAAACCCCAAAATAAATATAGGAGGAGAAAAGAGATAAGTATTTACATCTTTATAGAACACCTTCACGAACGGCATCTGAAACTGTGTGTATATATGATTCTAATCTTTCTCATTCAGGAAAATGAAAGTGCAGCAGGCACAAGTACAGGCGTTTTGGATGACCAAAAGCATTTGCCAATGGCATGGGAAGGGGAAGAGATACTGTTCTGTTGGTTCACCAAAAGCTGAGGGGAGAATATGGTAAATGCTTAAAAATATAGTCATCAGACAGGGAGGATACCTGTTGAAGCTAATGAACTGTACTAGTACCAAAGGAGATCAACAAGCTAGCTGTAAATAGACCGGTTTACGTAATAGGCTCTTTCAAAGCTTTACTCCAAATTTTACGTTTCAGGAGTTTAAAAAGAGTCTGCAGTTTGCAAACTATAACTTGCTCATGACTACTTTACACTCAGTCCAGCACATTAGTACCCTCGCCACCTTGCTCCCCTCTCAGCTCAGCAGAAATGAATGAAGGTTGGATGTTGCTATTCCTTCTAGTGGTAGTCCCCATTGCCCCACTTACTCATGAGTCAGTAACTTATCTCTGAAGAGCAGAAGCTCTTGATCTTGCTGAGCTCAGTACTCAGCATAAAGCATGAGGACCAGGAGCTCCCGCTTCCAGCTTCCAACTCCCACCTTGGCTTCCGAGACCACCCCCTAAAGCCACATCCTCCTCACCTCCCTGCTCATAGTTATCCCTGATACCAGTAGATGAACATTTATTCAGAGTATAAGCTGTCTCTCCAGATTTACCTCTACCAAAAATAAAGCCAGTTGATTTTAGATGAAAACAGTTATTTCCCTCCAACATCTACACATTGCAACTACATGAAGAAAAACCCTACACAAATTTTGTTCTCCAATAAAGTAATATTTCCTATTTGGGCAGGAGATATTCCAAGTGAAAACAGCTGGTGTAGGGAAAAAAAACACAGAAAAAGTTTGGAAACGCCATCGTTTTGGACTCTCACCAAACAGCTTCCTCTCTTGCCCAAATGAAACAAGAGGATTTAAATGCAAAAAGCCAAGTATTCTAATGTAGAAAACAAACACTAAATGTACAGGCACCACAGAACTCCGTTCTTGTTTTTCAGTCATGCTTTGGCCATGCATACAGTGCTGGTTATTTTCTACATTTCTGAGAATTTAAAATCATAGATACTCTTTTTTCTTCACACTTTCAATTTCTCTTAAAGTCTGAACTAAGTGTTTTAGCAGTGTGCCAGGTTGCTGAATTACTCTTGAGCTTTTGTAAACATTTTTCTATTCTTCTTCCATCTGCAAAAGTTATAATTCACTAGAGAGTGAAGTTTTAATAACAGCCTCTATGCTTCTTACAGCAGCACACAAGGAAGCCACATAGCCTTTAGGGGGTTTTATTTGGTTGGGATTTTTTTAATATTACTGGATTATACCATCAAGTCTACAATAAATCTGATAAATAAAATGCTATTTTTCTGAGATCCAGCAAAACGCTTCCTATGAGAAGTGCTTCAATACAAGCAGTAGCCATTGTAGTGACAGATGTACACAACTCGCTTTCTCAAGGCAGAGGAGATGATCAAGGTATATATTGGAGCATTAAAACTCCTGCCAGGGGAAGAGAAGTAGCAGTACCAGCAGCTGGAGATGAAATTCATACCTGAAATCTGTTTGACTATACATAGCTTACACCAACGTTGATGCTTAGACTACAGTAATAGTGCTTGAGTCGACTGGAACATGCAAGGAACACAGGAAGAATGGGAATAGATTTTAGACCCTGATGAATACTTCAGTTGTGCAGGCCCTTTATATGTCTATATGAATAATATTGTTTTGCTGAAACTATTAGAACTCCTATTTTTCAAGTGCTGGGCACAGACTGTTAGGAGTAGTTTTTCTTCTTGATGCCAAATAAGGTTTGGACATGGTGATTCTACTGTTGGAAGATGGAAAAGAACAACAGCTCCACCACTATACTTGAAGGAATTAGCATTTCTCCTAGGGAAAAAAACCCCAAACAACAAACAACCAATTGCAAAAGGTTGTAAACTGAAGCTTATGCAATAAATGGAAAACTGTTTTTCTGGATTATGTAGATTCAGCTTTCAACCGCTATTAATAAGATCACCCTTCTCCAACTTCGATGAGGTAGCAACAATGGCAGCTTAAGAGGAACCTATGGGATACTGAATTGCCAGGAAGACACCTCTGAGTCACCAGCATGTTCTTAATGTACATAAACAATAGCATGTACCTTCTGGCTACCTCTGACAATTTTGATTTAAGATGTGGCAGTCTGGGGAAGTTCCCACTGACTGGAAAAGGGGAAACATAACCTCCATTTTTAAAAAGGGGAAAAAAGGAAGACACGGGGAACTACAGGCCAGTCAGTCTCACCTCCGTGACCAACAAGATAATGGAGCACACCCTCCTGGAAACTATGCTAAGGCACATGGAAAACAAAGAGGTGACTGGTGACAGCCAACATGGCTTCAACTAAGTGCAAATCGTGCCTGACAAATTTGGTGGCCTTTTACAATGGGGTTACAGCATTGGTGGATAAGGGAAGAGCAACTGACATCATCTACCTGGACTTGTGCAGAGCATTTGACACTGTCCCACATGGCATCCTTGTCTCTAAATTGGAAAGACATGGATTTGACAGATGGACCACTCAGTGGGATAAGGAATTGTCTGGATGGTCACACTCAAAAGTTTTGTGGTCAACAGCTCAATGTCTGAGTGGAGACCAGTGATGAGCGGCATTCCTCAGTGGTATTGGGACTGGCACTGTTCAACACCTTTGTCGGCGACATGGACAGTGGGATTGAGTGCACCCTCAGCAAGTTTGCTGACAACACCAAGCTGTGTGGTGCTTTTGACACGCTGGAGGGAAGGGATGCCATCCAGAGGGACCTTGATAGGCTTGAGAGGTGGGCCTGTGTGAAGCTCATGAAGTTCAACAAGGCCAAATGCAAGGTCCTGCACATGGGTTGGGGCAACTCCAAGCACAAATATGGGCTGGACAATGAGTGGACTGAGAGCAGCCCTGAGAAGAAGGGCTTGGGGGTGTTGGTTGACAAGAAGCTCAGCATGACCCGGCAATGAACATTTTGCAGCCCAGAAAGCCAACCCTATCCTGGGCTGCATCAGAGGAAGTGTGGCCAGCAGGTCAAGGGAGGTGATTCTCCCATTCTGCTCTGCCCTTGTGAGACCCCACCTGGAGTACTGTGTTCAGCTCTGGGGGCCCCCAACATAAGAAGGACATGGACCTGTTGGAGCAAGGCCAGAGGAGGGCCACGAAGATGATCAGAGGGCTGGAGCACCTTTCCTGTGAAGACAGGCTGCAAGAGTTGGGGTTGTTCAGCCTGGAGAAGAGAAGGCTCCAGGGAGACTTTATAGGAGCCTTCCAGTACCTAAAGGGGCACCTACAATAAAGCTGGAGAGGGATTTTTACAAGGGTATGTAGTGATAAGAAGGGATAATGGCTTTAAACTGCAAGAGTGTAGATTTAGGTTAGATGTAAGTAAGAAGTTCCTTACTATGAG